ATGTGCTCTGCTCTGCTCTGCTCTCTGCACTGCTCACAGGCTCTTGCAAAAGTGAGCTCTGCAACGAGTTGTGAAATGCTGACTGAAACAGTGGCTGTAAGGAGGGGTCTGTTGTTACTGTTCATTACAATCCTTTCCCATGGAAGTTTGGTACCTGAGATAAGTTGATAACTGCAAGTGTCATCTGAAGGTATTCTATGGATTACCCTGTTATGATAAGAGAATGCAAGGGGATCAAAACTTATTTCTTGTCAAAAAACCCTCAGACATTAGTGTAAACATGAGCAAAACTTTCTGTTCTTTCCAGGTTTACTTTTATGCATACAATATCTTCATAAAAGCTGGAATCCCCCCTGATCAAATCCACTATGTCTCGCTGGGGCTTGGGACCACCGAGATCCTCTCCACAGCTGTGTGTGTAAGTGGCTTTTCAGCTGAATTTTGTTCTGCTGTAATGCGTGGCTCATTTTAATCTTTAGAAATGCTGTAAGCGGAGCTTCAGGAATAAAATTTTTGCAACAAATCAACCACGGAACCAATCATACAAAATCATCTCCACACACCCTGAAAATATGGGCATTTATATTCAATTTCTGGGAAGAGAGGAGAGTCTTTCTCTCAAAATCATGACCCAGGGATGGCAGCTACTGGAGCAGCTCAGCAGTGCCTGCCTTAGGTCTGTCCTTTGGAGCTGGCAGCGTGCCCTTCTGGTTGCAGGGTGTCCTCATTGAGCGTGCAGGGAGGAAGACACTGCTGTGGAAAAACTACACAGTGATGACCCTCGCTTTAGGGCTCCTCACAGTCACACTCTTCCTACAGGTAAGACCCCACTGATGCATTAAAACTATGTCCTGTCTTCATGTGTTATTGTGCAGCAGATATCATACTATTTCCATTCCCCCAAATAATTTTTTAGCCCAAGTAGAAGTGTTTTTGGGGCTAACCATCATATTAACAGAGGTCTGTTCCCAGCCATGTACATACAGATTAAAGACAATAGACTTATACAACCAAGAACTCTGCCAAGACTATCTCCTCATGAAATTTCTGGAAGTAAAATAATTAGATTTATATTTTAACACTGCTATACTTAGCAGTCGTGAATGTTTCTAATGGAGCTAGATAAACAAAATCTTAATTTCTGATTTTATTTGCTTTTCATTTCCTGCCACAGGATTCCTTTTTCTGGGTACCATACTGCTCTGTTGCACTTGTCTTTATTTTCATCCTGAGCTTTGGCGTTGGGCCAGGTTGGTATTTTCTACTGGAATGATTTCAGGTACTCATTCCTTCCTCCCTGCAGCCTTTAGGAGAGGTGCCAGGCATAGCTGCTCCACAGTTAGCATGAACCCTATCCCTACTCCTGATTCAGTGAAGGTACAGATGTTTCCCTCCATACTGCAGCAGGAGGTAAAACTTAATTTCCTATTGCATTCCTACATCCTTCCTCCTCAAGAGCCAGGCAGCACCTCAAACACTTCCAGGTCATTTAAAGCCATAAACCTATGTAACAATATGAAGTGTGAGGTACAGAAGCATCTTGCAAAATTTCTAAGTTTCCTTCTTTTCTTCAATATTTTTTTCAGGTGGTGTGTTATGCTCCTTGATCACAGAAATTTTTATTCAGTCATACAGAGCAGCTGCTGTTGTTTTTAATGGTCTTGTAAGCTGGATCCAACTCTTCATCCTTGGACTTGTCTTCCCTTTCATTGTGGTAAGCAAAGTAGGGTGTTTTTGTCCCTGACCAAGTTCTATAGTAAATACAAAACCAAAAACTCTATATCATAAGAGAAAGAAATAGAGATAAATTCTTATGAACATATTTTGTCTCTTTCTTTTCCTGTAGGAAGGCCTTGGTAATTTCTGTTTCCTCATTTTCCTGACATACTGTCTGACCGTGGCTGTCTTTGTCTTCCTGGTGATGCCAGAACCCAAAGGAAAGACCATGCTGCAGATCCTGGAGGAGTTCAACCGCCTGAACTACCGTGGAAAGAAGAGACAGACAGTCCTACAGCAGAGTAACTGCTCGGTGATGACTGTCACTAGACTTTAACAACAAACCCTCCCCTTCATATTTTGCTCCTTTATTACTGTAGTGCCCAGAAGCCTCATTAAGCAATAGAGAATCTGTTGCTCCACAAAGAGCACAAGTGTGTATTTTAAAAATAATCACCTGCAGTGCAGGGTGCAGGATGAACTTGGTCGTTCTCTCCAACTCCTGAAACATGAGCTGAATTAATTCCTCTGCAGAAAAAAATTGAACACAATATATAAAGAAATTTTGTCAGTCCCTCCAAGTTAGCAGTTGGTAAACTGAAAACATAGGATCTGCTATTTTTCTTGGCAAAACCAGGACTCCACAGTTGGAGAACATGAGTCTGGAAGGTCCAGAGATACAGCAGGTTTGCAAAGGTGAGAGCAAAAGAAGACAGAGCTTTGGTGTTGAAATTATCTGCTGTTAACAAGTCAGTGCTGATGAGCTTTCCCAGACAAGAAGCTTCAGTCCAGAGGAAAGGAAGTGTTTAGCTCTTTAATACAGTGGAAGAAGAGCACCTTGCCTATCAGTAGACAGAATCAATATGCACTGTTTCTGCCTCTTCTATTGGAAAAAAATCCCCAGGGATATGTGAGCACTGAAAGAAAGCACGAGCAAAGAAAGCAGAGCTGCAGGGAATCATGAGTGGGCAAAGCCACGGTGGGCAGGTTCTCCTTCTTGATTGTGCAGTGTGTCTTCAGCCTGGAGAACACTGGGTTTCAATGACATTGACTCCTGAGAGTTACTGGTACCAGTGAGACAAAAGAGAGTGGTGCCTCTCCTGGAGAACCCAATCTGTATGTCTGAGCATTTGCTTCTCTCTCCAGGTGTCTGAATACTCCACATTTTCATTATAAAACATGGTAAAAAAGGCTTCACTTTTTGTAGTCATTGCTATATGACATGACACATTTTTGGTCTTCTTCATGCTTTGCAGTTTACTGATAAAGAAATAAAAAGCACTGACTAGGAAAACACACCCTACTGATCATGCCTGGATTTGGTTTTCATTAAATAAAGAGTCAGGGACAGAGGAGAGCCCATCTTTTGGGACTGTGTTATTGGGTCAAGGAACACTGTGTCTGTCTTTTCTGGAAATGAGATCTTCACTACTGACTGATGCAGGTGCCACACAATAAAATTTGCAAAAGGATTTGAATATTCAGCAGCAGTTTCTTTCACAGCCCTAAGGCTCCTGCTATTTTATCTTCATACCATCCTCTAGCAGTATTTGTAGCAGTGCCAAAAGCTAATACCAGGAGCAGGGGACTTCCCCAGTACAACCATCCTTCCTATGACAATCATCACAGTACCAAAAAAGCTAGATAAAGTGTATAGTTTCAAGGCTTGAGGTTATGGATTGCACAGTACCACTTTAAGAACCAACATACATTCCCTCTTCTGGTCAAAAATGCAGGGGAAAAAAAAGAGAGAAGAAACATTTAAAGTATTTTAAAAAAGAATCAGGTAAGACCTTGATTATTTTAAAAGTCTTTATTTGGTCTGGACTTTCTAAACCTTACTGGTTCCCAGTGAAGGAGTTTTTACTGTCTTATGAGACATTAAAAACTCATTTCCTTCTACATGTTTTTCTAGAGGGTGATCTTGTCCAACGTGCCTTACTTTTTTTCTCCTACTAGTAAATACTGTCCACAAGAGGGAAGTGTGGTAAATCATTAGCACTGCCATAAACTAGCATGGATTGGGAATAAAGGTTAAAGAATTATTTGTGAATCTGCCATGTAGGATCCAGGATCACACAAGTGCTACACAGGGCATCTTTGAAGACAAAATTCCCTCCAAGCCAAGGGTATTGAGTGAGCTCCAGATTGGGTCTGGAATACATTTCTTGTAGTGTTCAAATCCTAGGTGAAAAGATTTGTACTGTCCTCTTTTTTAGGAAAATAAATAAGAACTGTACTAAGCATCTAAGGCTTTCTTTTTCCATAGTACAGCACTGAACAAAAGTGTGAGGCCAGATGAAAATGAGAGAGCAGTATGAGTACTCTAGGAGAGACACAGACAACAGGAGGAAGAGGAACAGGGCTCTGCAGGGACTGTTTGATCAGCCAGATGTTAAAATCTGGACACAGTGTGGCCAGAACTGCCATGTGTGTCCTTCCTTCCTTCCAGTAGACAAGCTTCCCCTCCTCAGCTCAAAGAAAAAATCCTCCTTCTCCCTCTAGTTCATCAAAGCTCATCATCTCCCCTGCCCACAGTCCCTCTCTGAGGTGCCTGAAAAGGGGTTTGCTCTGAGTCTGGCAGAACCCCTTTGGGATGGAAAAGAAAAAATAAAAACAGACTTGAAGGGGCAGTTCAGCATGAAGAAGTGTGGAAACTGAGATATGGGATCCCACTCTGGCCCCCAGTGGGTCAATTCCACTGTTACAGAGAGGCAAGAGTGAGGCTTCTGAGTGGTTCTGGAAAGGGTGTGACCCTCTGGGTGTTGGCAAGGACCCAATATACCAATATTCCAATATTTAATTTCCTGCAACTGGGAAATTGTTCTAATCACTTCAAGCAATTGAAAATCTTATAGAAGGCAAGAAGAGGCATTACAGCTCAGCTACAATTCTAAGGGCATTATCTCTGTGGTAGAGTGGAGAGGAGGAAAAAAATCCCTGCCTAAGATGCTTGTCAGAGAAGTGGAGAGGGACTCTGCTGCCCTGAAGGGAAGATGGTAGCACTCTCTGATTCCTCACACAACAGGAACATGCAGGTGTTTTAGCAGTGTGAGTAAAGGGGAGCACTCCCAATTCAAGGATAAACATTTACCAGTGTTGTAATCAGCTTGTCATATCTGGGTCTTAGAATAATTAAACCAGCAAGAAGAGACCCTGGCCAGTGTCAGAGGAGGACATAGTTTGCTAAAAGCCATGTAGTTAGAATTTAACTTCTGTGCTGTGATCCCAAACTCTTATAGTCTCAGTGAGGAAACCATCTCTCTCGTCTGACAGAGTTGACAGGAGCTCTCAGAGAGGGCAGGGTTTCAAGGGGAAATGTCTGGTTTCCTTTCAGACCTGGTGAGTATCCAACTTCTTGTGTTCTAGCCCTAGCCATTGACAGCAGCATGGTCTTAAAGATTACAGCAAAGGGAACCAAGCAGTCCTTGCAATAAAAATGAGCAACAGAGCATGTGCTTGGGACAACACCAGTTCAGCAATACGAGTTCTGGCATCTCCAGACAATAGATTAGAACTACAAAAGAGTGAGATGCTTAAAAGAGGACTTGGGAAACCAGGAAAGAATGGGCATTTTGAGGCAGATAAAGAAAATAGTAACAATGAAAAAGACAAAACAGTCTTTTGAAAAAGACAAAACACTCCACTCTACAGCCCTGCACTCTCAAGGATATTTGAAGATACTTGTCTGTTTTAAGTGTGACCTGACTAAATACCCAAAAACGTATGTGCTTGTGAGGGGTGCTCTAAAATTCAGTGTATGCCACAGAAACACAGCATTTCAAAAACGAGTCAGTTGGGTAGGGACTCTAAAAATGGCATTCCCTATGGGGATAATAAAGGGGAAATGTAAAAAAAAAAAAAAATAAATTTTAAGAGGACAGACTTGATTAATCTCTGGAAAGTGATGAACAATGTATTTGAGGAGGCAAAGTTGAAAGCAAAAAAGGGATTCAGGAATGTTGTAGTGTCTTTCTAGCACAAAAGTAAACACAAACTACCTGAACAAGGTTTTTATGATTTTTTTCCCCATGATTATTAGAACTAACAGAATTAGACATTGCATCTTTTTAGGCTCCTAATGACCAGGACAGGAACAAAAGGGAATGGGCAGATTTGCATTTTAACAATTTCTCATTAATTTTGTTTGATTACTGAAAAATTAAAAATGGGTATTTGCATTTTAAAGGTTTCTTAATAATAGAGATGTGGAGATATAAGATCCCATAAATTATCTGGTCTGAAAGCCATGGTGGCATCAGGAACTCAGGATGTGTTTCACTGTCTTTGGCAGGTCCAATACCGGAAGCTGTTGCTAATGATTGTGGTGCTGGGAATTGGTGGAACCCACCTCTCTGGTTTTCAAATGTCTGTGATCAATTATACTTCTCCTGTAAGCAAAGCCTTCATAAAATCACATCTCTAAGTGTTCCTTGTGGGACTAAGCCTTACACTTTAAAAATGCTCTGCAAAAGCTCTTAGGTGTCGCTGTACCAGTTTATTACCAGCTCTTTCTATGATTGTTGGGAGATGTGCTCCAAAAACAACTCCACAAAGAATTGTTTGGAAACAACATATTGAGATACCTTCCTTAAAGATTATGTCACGGAGAGAAAAGATTAAAAACTAGCTGATGGAATCTCAACCTTCAGCTCAGCCCTTTTCTCTTTGTATCTGCTACATACAACAAGAACATTTGCATTTCACTATGAGTAAAAGGCCCCTATATTTAGTGTAGGAGAGCAAGGACTCAACACACTAAAAATTATAATTAATTTTTGAATTAATTTGCAAACAAGTGTAGTTTAGCCATGCTTTCTGTCATGCCAATAACCTCATTTTTTCGAAGTTGTAGACATTATGAAGAACTATCATGATTAGTGCCTCAGTGGAATGCAAATCTCTTTTTCTGTCCCAGTACATTCAGAAGTTTCTCAATGAAACGTGGCTGGAGCGATACGGTTCTGTGCTGCACCAGGAGACCCTCACGCTGCTGTGGTCCGTCGTTGTGTCCCTGTACTGCGTGGGTGGGATGATGGGGTGTCTGTGCAGTGGGTACCTGACTGCAAAATTTGGAAAGTAAGTGTATCTCCCAACAGCTCTCTACTCAGGGCTGCAGCAGGGGAAGGAATTAATCAGTCAGCTAATAGAAGGGATATCAGAATCTCACTGCCCCCTGCTGTTGCGGAATTTACTCAGCACATAAAACTACACATGAGTACATGGGAGAGACAGGAGTATGTGACTATTTCTGATTCCCTTGTCACAGCTTTTGCTGCCGTACAATTCCTGTATCTTTGCTGACATTTCAGTAAAAAATAAATCTCTGAAATTTCTTGGTTGGGCAGTAATGCCATAGGAAGCCCAACAGCACTGCAGTAGTGCAGAAGGAGATGGATATTCTGTAGGCAAAAGCTTTTTTAAATTTATTTATTTAATTGACCACCGGCTTTAAAAAAGTTGTGCAGGGTCATTCCTCTGTAAGAATAATCAGAGTACCAGCAAAGATAGCAGAAATCCCTCAGGCCACATTTAGAACCCTCTTTCTGAGGGTGCCATAAAGGACAAAGCCAAAACTCTCTCACTTGAGGTGGGCAGTGAAGCAAGTTCCAAGTGAAGCTGGATTTGCCTTGTTCTGGAGATACAGGAAGTGTTTGAGATGGGAGCCTTGCCCACAGCAAAGAAGTGAAAAAGATTGTTCCTTATCAGCATTTATCCTGCAGGAATTTCCTTCAGCCTCACGGTTTGCTCACACAGTGTTAGCATGGATAAGAGGAATGTGGCTTCTCCCTTTCACTCCTCTGCAAAGACATCATGCCTTTTCAGAATCAGATTTGGTTGTCCTGTAAGGAATGGATTTAAGCACGACCATAGGCTGGGTCTGTAAATCCAGGGGAGAACAGGCAGACATCAGTTAGGATGAAAAAGTAAAACCTGGCTCATAGCCAGGTGTTGTTTGCTGTTGCAGGAAGAAATGTCTGTTGCTCAACGATGTGATCCTAATAATAGCCACGCTGCACACGGGCTTCAGCAGGACAGCCAAGTCTTTTGAGATGATCCTGGTTGGGCGCTTCCTCGAGGGCATCTGTGCTGGTAGGACTCCCCACTACTCCTTGTCAGTGTGACTTCTTTGGGGTGGATACAGAAATCTTCCTGCTGGGAGTACCCAGGCATGCACAGTATTCCAGTGGAACAAGGAACAGATTGGGAAAAGGTAAGATGAGCCGTCCTTTGCCTTCAAGAGGTCTGGTGGAGTGAGAAATCTGCTGGATTAGCTAAATATCTTGCTTCAAGTAAAAGGTAAATTTTCAGTCTATTATTGTGGAGGATGTATGGGAAACAGCTCAGAAGAGAGAGGACAGAGCAACCTTCAGCTGAAATGGAAGTGAAAAGGGACCTCTCTCTTTCTTTCTACACTTTTAGCACTCTCCTCTTTCTCCCCCTAGGAATACATCTGGGTACCCATGTTCAGTATGCTGGAGAGATCTCACCCAAGAAGCTGCGTGGATTTATAAATGTGACCTCCTCGGTGTTTTTTGCACTGGGAAAAACTGTAGCAAGAATTCTTGGATTACGGTACTTGTGCTACTCCTTCTCATCCACTTTCCTACTTATTTTTTTTTCTGTATAGCAGGGAAGTGTTGTTCTCCCAGTTCTAGAAACAGACATGCACTAAGGGTGAAGTTTTATTTTGCTCGACTGCAGAAGTAGTAATCTATATTTCTCTCCTTAACATAAACATCTTCTATTTAAATTTAAGTTTTCAAGGACTGTATGTATTTTGTGTCTCTTTAGTTAGTCTAAGATTTAGAAAATACCAAATTAGATATAAACTGTAATTTTACTGGACTAAAAATAGACTCTAACATGCTTTCATAGAGATCTTTTAGGAACTGAAGACAGATGGAATGTGCTATTGTCCTTCTCTGGCTTGGTGGCATTGATTCAACTGCTCTTTTTACCATTCTTTCCTGAGTCCCCTCCCTATCTCTTGCTACAGAAAGGAGACAAGGCTGGATGCTTGAAAGGTAAAATAAAACTTTAGATCCTTAGTTTGTTAAACCATAACTCTTGGGAAAGTGAAGCTAACAGAGGAAATCAGTTTTTCTACTAGCCAGCTACAGATTTCTTGATAATTACATGATTAAAGTTCTCCAGATGAAGCAGAATCATCAGAAATATTTAAGATCTACCCCTAAATAGTACAGCAAGCTGAACACCATTTTCCAGGAAAATCTCATCATGTTCCAGCAAGCAATGTTCCTTCCAGTCCTTTGCTCAGTAACTCATGAATCACAGCACAGACTGAACTGCAAATGTTTAGTGTCAATAAAAGTTGCAAAACAGAGAACTCTGAGTGGATCAGGTGATGCAGGAGTACACTTCATTCTGTCTCTTCTGCAGCCATGAAGCAACTCTGGGGAGAAGGGAACTACCACACAGAATTTGAGGACTTGATGAAGGAAAAGGCTATAACAAAAGGCACCAAAATCATGAACGTCCTGGAGGTGCTGAGAGAACCGTCCGTGTACCCGCAGCTCATTACCATGCTCCTCCTGCTACTGAGTCTGCAGCTCTGTGGCCTGAGTGCAGTTGAGTTTGCCCAATTTCCATGCTTAAATCTGCTGTTAAGTAACCACAGTGCCACAGTGTCCCTTTCCTCTGGGTCTCCATCATTCCCTCTCACACAGAGCCCACTGCCTGAGGTCTGTGGTATCATCACCAGTGTTCTTCATACCGTTAAGAAAACTTCTCAGGTGGGAATACAAGAGATCCAATGCAGTTTAAGTTCCTGCAAGGACACTGTTGCCTTCATTCCCCCTGTCTTGTCCCTTTCCTTCTCCTTTTTGCCAAAACCAACACCTTTTCCCCATGGCTTACAGGCAATGTGCTCCTTTCAACTACTTTTTTTTCCCTTTTTTCTTTTTTTTTTCCCCCTGGATTTTCAAATACCTTTCCTTCATCTCCATTAACCTTTTGATTTTTCCCATCTCGAGCAGGGATGTCACCTCCACTAGGCCCCAGCACCGCACCCCTGCTTCTGCAGTGATGACAGATCTAGTTCTAAGTGATGCTGGATAGGCATGTATCATAGCTATTAACTATGCTTAACTTTTAATATTTTTCTTATTTACCAGATCACCTTTTACACCTCAGAAATTTTTCAGACTGCCAACCTGCAGGAAAGCATAATCCCATATGTGTCTCTAGGAGTTTCAGTCTCTGAACTCATCTCTGTCATATTCTGTGTAAGTCAGAGCTTTCTGAGGCTTTAAGAATTAAAGTACATGTGAATTGAGTCTATTCTTCCTTAAAACAAATTAATTTTCTCCTTAAGAACCAAAGTATTTTTCTGTGGTATTGCATGAATCTGTACAGTGGTTGTTACCACCCGCTCCAAATTTTGTCCCAGCTTTTATGTCTTCCTTCGTATCTTCATTCTTCTTAATTTCTTATAAGAATCCCTTATGCAATGTCATTCAAACATAAATATGTGTGCTCATTTCCATATATTTGTGTGTCTATATATTCAAATGGAGTTGTAACATGCTTCCATTGATTACAGCGTTTAGGAAAAAGTAGCTGCAATGCTGGGCAGTGATTTTAGTTCGTACTGTTAGAGAGGCTAGAAGGAATTCAATAAAAAACAAACTTGGTACCAATAAGATTTGTGTTCTCTGAAGTAAAAAGAACTCCAGAAGAATGCTTGATTTGTTGGATGGCTCACAGCTGGATTTTGCCACCCTTCCAGTGATATGCAATTTTCTTCTACTCTTCAGAGCTCCATAATCGACCGGTTTGGACGCCGGATACTCCTGTGTGGTGGTTACTTGCTGATGGCACTGATACTGGTGTTGCTCGAAACAAGCCTCCTGCTGAGTGTAAGCAAATGTCTCTCTGGCAGTGGACCTGCATCTGAATTCTTTGTGCAGGACAGCTGATAGTCAGCCTTGGCTTTCATGTCCTAAACAGCAGGTCAGGATGTCTTCTGAATACGAGCTCACCTCTGTAGATGTGGCACTGCAGGCTGCTTTTGGCCTTCCACTGTGGTCAGTACAGAAAGATGAGCAGTTCTAGAGAGCACCATGGGCTTTTTCATAAATATTGCTGCTCCTATGCTTGGATCAGCTGTGCTACAGCTATAAAATTAATTCTCATTCTCTTCCCTCCTTTTGCCTTTTCTAGGATCAGTTCCTCTGGATGCGATACTGCAGTGTTGTTCTCATCTTTTTATTCATCATTGCTTATGGGATAGGACCAGGTGAGTATAACAATAAAAGCAACAGAAAAACTTGGACCACATGGATAAGCACAGGCCATGAATGTATAGAAGCAGAACTAGAAGGTGTGAATATATCTTTGAAAATCAACAGCTTAGTTTGGACTGAGATTGAGGGAGCTCCAATTTTTGAATTAATTACCCAAGAAGCAATTTCTTTAACAAATTATTTTAAATCATTCACACCCTGATGAATCAGAAGCCTGTTTTCTCTCATTGGATTACAGGGTCAAGACAAATAAGCTCTTATTAATCAATTCACTAAGACTTGTTTTGGAGGGTATGAATGCCATTCAGTGCACACAGGCTCAGCTGGTTGATCCCCATCTTTGCCCCTCTAAAGTGCCAGTGTTTTCTCAACTTACCTGTAAACTATATTGGTAACACCAGACCCAAATTTACAGCTCTCTTTTAGAATGTCACTCACATAAGACCAATATTTACTCTGGAAGTTCCCTGACTAAACATTACTACACTGTCCAAATTCAAATGGCAGCCTTTAGTATTGTAAGAGTTGTATAAGAGGACCAAGAAAATCTGGAAAATATAACAGAATTCCCACATCTATGGGAAATGGACAACTACAACAACTGTTGCTTTTTTATGTTGTTTTTCCCTCAGCTGGAGCCGTTTCATCTGTTACTAATGAAATCTTCACCCTCTCAACAAGAGCCTCTGCTTTTGTCATTGGTGGAATCGTCATCTGGCTGGGCCTCACTTTCACTGGAATGATTTTCCCCTTTGCTGTAGTATGTAATTTGATTCAAACCTTCTCTTTGACTCTATCAATTTTAACTGATCAATTTTTTCTAGACTGGTCTGGACAGGGAATAGGTTAAAGTGACTTGCAGATGATTAAAACTGTGAATCCCTTATTGCTACTGGCATATGGAGGCCATTTATGCAAAACACTTCCCAATACCTCAGAAATGACCTGCTGCCTCCAGAACAGATTGAAAAGATAAATGAATATTGCTGCTGTAAAATCACCTTATTCCTCATTTCACAGGAACAAATCAACCACTTTCAAGAATCTATAGAGGCAAATATTGCCAGGAAAATCACTCATCTTATTCTATTTCTTTCTCCAGATGCTTCTTGGTCCTTTTTGCTTCCTCATCTTTATTGCTGTCCTGATCATTTCAGCAATTCTTATCTACCTGTTCCTCCCAGAAACAAAAGGGAAGTCAATCTCTGAAATCACAGAAGAATTCAAAACACGCCAGTTTAAGAAGAAACGTCACCAGGCTGTGGAGGTGAATGCTACTGAAGAAAAGACATTCTGCACCAAGCTCTGATAAGCCACCACCAGTAACTTCCACTGACAAAAAGGCCTGTCTCAAAATCAAACTGAAAACTGAACATTAACATGGACTTTTCTCGATGAAATGCAACCCAAAAAGCAATCCAGAGACAGCTTGTCATTAATCCAAGTAGTCCTGTTTTATATTCATCTTTGCTTTTCATGGTGAGAGTCAATGGCTCATTCCTAGAGCAACTCTGTAGCAGGAAAACAATAACAACTACAGACATTTCTAAGAACTGGCACATGGAAAACATTTTCAGGCATAATGCACCAATTGTATTTCAGATCTTTCTGCATTGCTGTCATTTTCAAGCAGCAAGATTTGTCTTTATGTTTGTTACTTTATAAGAAAATTCTGCTCAAGGTTAAGAGCAGGATGAAGAAAGGATTAAACACAGACATAGTTCTTGCAAACAATGGTCATGTCATGTCATGTCATTATGATATCACACTGTTAAGGACCTAGTATTGATTGTGAGCGCTGCACATGAACAAATACCAAGTAGGACAAAGAGAACTTGTATTTCCTTGAGCTGACATCAAGTAACTATATGTCCTGATTGTCTCTGTAATGACTGTCAGGGATCAGCCCCAATCCCTGGGCAATTGGTGCAGAAAACCCTCACTTGCATTCTCTGGAGCAAACTGGCTGCACTCTCTGTGCATATCAGTTGTAGCAAAATCAGGAGGAAGTTTTTGTAATGTATTCTGGTACCTCGTGGATGGCACAAGGGTTAATAAACATACAGACAGTGCTGAGAGCTGGAGGATCAGAGCCCTGCAGAGAGGGAGTAAGAGACTTTGAGAGAGTACTGAGAAAGTAGAGACTTTGAAAATTCAGCCCATTTTATACATGATTAACTGATTAAAAACAAAACAAAACAAAAGCAGAAGCTGTGATGGCTGATACCTGCTGGCTGTGTACTGGCCTAGGACTCACTGTACTTTGCTGCTGCACATCAGCTCACAATCCAACACCTCACTGCTGTGCTCCACAGCTCCCCTCACTGGGGTGTTAATTCAGCTGACCACTGCATCATCCAGTCACTTCCCTCCCCAAACTCATACAGGATTATCAATTATTTTTCCTCTTTCTGTCACAATCACAAATGGTATTCTGAGCCTCCTGTTCAGCAGGACCATAAGTCCTTTCTTTTTGCAGTTTAACCATTCATATTGGTTATCACTGTGCTGGAGAACTAAATTAGTGTTAAGTTTTAGGGATTTTTCTGTTTTAAAATTTCAAATAATGTACTTACTACTTCTAAAGGAATAACCATAGGAGAAGCTCTGATATTAAAGGGCTGGTGTGTGTTCCAGCAACTGAAACCTGGGTTAGATTTTATATTCAATCTGGTATCACTTCCTGTATCAAAATAGGGAGCACTCATGCTACAAAATGTTCCCATTCAGAGAGCCCTCTCCTGTCGAGGCATTGAAATATTTAATCCATCCATTCTAAGTGCTGTCCAGTTGCTACAAAAAACATAAATGAACAGAAATCATACGAAGTAAACATTAACCTCAGCCTCAGAGTCAGGTGGTTACTTAAGAAGAAGGTGCAGGAGAGGCATGAGAGAAAACACTTCCACAGTCTGACAGAGTTCTGTCTACCTGGGATCAGCCACCCTTTCAACATGAGATGGACAAGCTCCTTCCAGAAGTGGTGAGTACTGCAGCTGGTAGCACCAGCTGGCAGCACTAGGCTTTAAGAAGAACTGTGAGGTGATCCGTTGCAATCATCATTCCCAAAGAAAATATAATACATATTTATCAAATTATTTTCAAAATAATAGGGTGAGCAGGGGATAATCCTTCTAATCTTGTTGCTGCAAAAATTAGAGGTAACATTTAAAATAATAAAAAAAAAAAGTCAAAAGACACAGAATAAACTGTCTGGACTAAATCATCATGGATACTTCGAAGGAAGTTCCAGCTGGGTAGAAAAACTAATTAAAAGAAAAAGTTTAAAATTCCTCTAGTTCTTAAATGGTGAGGTATTTCTATACCATTTTCACCTGCTCCCTCTTGTTTCCATGTCCAAGTGTTTCCACTGTCTTTTCATTCCCAGCCCTTTCCACCCACCCTTCTTTGCAGAAGAAAAGAATAAGAGCTCGACTGTAGCTGCCTTTGAGTGGGCATGCCCGGGTAACAAACACATCAGTCTCTCCACTTAACACAGGTTAACATGGGCAGTAAATATTTTCAAAATATATCATGTAAGATAATGTTAAATGAGGTAATTTGTGTACCACAACCACCTAACTAAAGCAGCAGTCTGCTGGGAGCTATCTCATCTTGTCAGAAAACTGTATAAAAAAATTCTTTCCAACAAATCTGTCCAGATACAGCAAGTCTTTGTAATTCTACATGAAAACATATGTACATAGAAATACAAAACCCTTTAGTGAATCAATGTGCTACATTATTGGTGCAAAGAGCTGCCAGTCATTACAATCTTATTTTCTCTGTTCAGGCTCTAGAGAGGTACTTCCCAGGTGCTGTAGCAAGAGCCATGTGATGAGACAGGAAAGAGAGAGGTCAGAGGCTATGCTGATGTTTTTACACCTGTACAATGCTAGTTAAGGTTTATATACTAACAACTGTGGGATAGGATCTTATGTCTGCAAGACTGTGAACACAGGATATAAATATATGTCTCTTGTGTTCTCATGCCATGCCTGTTAATATCATGAAACCTTAGGGGAATAACTAATTAATAATCTGAAAGATCTGCATGTACAAATAATATGATGCAGCGGTATTGAGCCTTCCTCTTTGTTCTGCACAGCTGTGAAGGAACTGTGTGGTGAGGAAAAGCACCAAGCAGAAATGGACAATCTGCTAAAAGAAAAAACAGCGATGGAAAACAGCAAAATCCCGAGTGTGCTGGAAGTGATGGAAGACCAGACTCTGCACTGGCACCTGTGCATTTATTATTATGATCATAACTCTGCAATTCTCTGGCATTAATGCAGTTGGTTATCTGCCCATCTCCACACAAAACAACTCTTCAGTTCAAGCTTGCAGACACTGTAAAATACATTGTATCTGGGTGGGAGTCAAGCAGTCATGAGATTTACTCCTGGCCATCAACTGGCTGCTGATTTGGTTTTGGATATTTTCACCCATCCATCTGTAACTCTTTTTGGAAAACTGGCATTTAACATCTACTGACCTAACAGAGCTTCACTGACCTGGCAAAGTGCTACATAAATGTATCACGTCATTTAAGAAGAAAAGTTTTGGATTATGGACATTATTTGGATTATGGACATTATTTTGCAATAAGGGACAGACTGGCTTGCACATGTCGACCTGCCCACAACAGTTCCTGTGCCCTCACACCTTCCCACAAGGTGCTGCCTGCATCCAGGATGAAATCTTATGCTTCTTTTTGCCACCACGCTCTCTTCCTCCGCCCCTACCATGGCAGTGCAGCTTGCAGCTTCCCTAACAATGGGGAATCACTAATGCCTGAGTGTCCTGTTTGAAAATATGGGCAGCATGAGGCCAAATGGTACGCAAATGTCACATTTATCTTCTTCCATGCTATTCTTTCCCAGCTTGCACAGGTTTCACAATCAGGTGCAATTGCAAGTGCTAGCACTTCTGAACTGTGCTGAACAGACACTAAAGCCATGGAGTCACTAACTCAACAGACAGATGGAAAAATAGATGTTAGGATCGGCGTTCACTGTTGGCACTGCACCAGATCAATAGTGTGTTCTGCTGTGGAACTTCCACTTTCATTTCTCAGTTCCTTCTCTGATTTGACTCTCCTTTTTCTCTTTTTCATAGCTTCTTTTCGGGATTCTCAACCTCTCTGAACATGCAGAAGAGAGAATTTTATCTTGTAAACTTGGTCAGTGTCACTTTGTCTTTACTGGTCCTTTTGCAGGAATTGGCCTCAGCAGCAGCACAGCTGGAACCCTGCAGAGAGACTGTTCATCCCTGTCACACAGCACCATGTCTGGTTTAAAACAGGAGCCCTGGATCCTCCTGTCCCTCTCTATGAAGCCCAGCCATGCTGACTGATATAGCTCCAGTGTCTCCTGCAAGAATTCAGTCCTTCACAGGTTGCCTTGCTGGGCACCTCCTCTACTTCACGGCTTAATGAACTTTTCCATCTCAAGCATTCATCCTCCCAAACTGCACCAATCCAACGTGCCAGACCTCAGGAGGCCTGTTCTCCCAAATGCTCACTATTGCTGCATCTCTTGCAGTTACTGATAAACCAGATAGTCTATGATTAACCTGCCAATATTAATGTTTGTGAGTTGTTTTAATCCCATGCCAAGGCCTCTCCTTCATACTTCTGCAAGCAACATCTCAAATTATTTTGACTACTCACCCTGCCTATCTTGCCTTCAGGAAAGAAGGAAATTTTAACTATTTTATTTCTGTTGCTGTTTCACACCTAAAGACTGGGTTTAGGCAGCTACAAAGCGAAACTTTGCCATCACTGTCATAATTTTGTCATCATGTTCTAAGTCTTGCAAAAAGAGAAGCAAAAGAATAAAATAAAATTATTTTTCTGTGATTTATTTCCAGGAAAACCTCATCTCTTTCTGCTTCCTTATCTTTATGGGGATCCTCATGAGCTCAACACTGGCTTGACAAAAAAACAAGCGGCAAACTCCTGGAATAAAAATCTCCTAAAATTGCTAATAACATGAAACAGTCATGTACACCTCAGAATCACCAGAAATCCCCAAAAATGTAAGAAAAATTTCACTGTGAGATGGTGGAATTTGCTGCTATTTGAGATCCTAAGTAATGATTTTCAAGGAGTGTAAGATTGCTTATGGCGTAGCCACCCTACACCTTGACACAATTGGGGAAAAAACATGTAATAGAAAAGAAACATTAACATTTTGAAACAATAGTCAATATCTATGCAACTGGTTACAATGCTGGTGTTCAAGAGAAAATACTTACAAAAATTTCCAAATCATTCTAAATGCCATTGCAAGCCAGGATAAACAGCATTTGCTATGCAGTTATATAGGCAATAGTTGGAATTACACAAATAACCAAGGTTTTATTATTAACATGTATTTTTTCCTCATTTCTTTAGACTCACAGTCCTCTGTAAATAATTGCGTTCTATGTGTTATGAACTGAAAGTACAATCCCAAGGGTGAGCTTGAGCATTTACTGAGACCTTCAGTATAACCCTATTGCCCCACCTGCCCCCACTCCAGGCCTTGGGGGCAGGGGACAGTCCCCTGGCATGAGTGAGAGTGAGCAGAAGACTTTGAAGGCAGGAACAGCACAGGGCACCAAACACAAAGGAAAGTTCCAGGCAGACCAACCTCTCTCTTCCAAGTGCTGGCTCGAGCAGAAGCCACGCAGAGCTACAATTTGAGTTTCATCTCACAAGAGAGGAGCCTCTGGGAACCAAAGGTGACTTTTTCATGCCTGTAACACTGATTTTGGAGCTGTTCTGTGACAAAGCTGAGGGAGTAAGATCCCACTTGTTCCCTCCTAACTCATTAAGGAATATTTACCTCCTTTGATTACTCTCATGAGAAAGTGTGTCTTTGTTACTGGTTCTTTCAAGAGGAGCCTTCAGGACCAGATGCTCTATTCTGAAAGCCTCTGCCAGGGCACACTATCTCTTACTGCTTTTTCAGCACACCTGGCTGTCAAACATCCCCATAAACACCCAATCCTCAGTACAGTCTAACTGATACTTAAGGCCAGAACAGCAGAATTAGGCTTTGAAACTTGCTTATTTTATTTCTAAAAACAATATTTACTATACCAATGATTCTGAAACAGAATACCACATACTTTACTTGTTTATAAATAACAGTACCTAAACCTTCCACCAGCTGCCTTTGCTTTCTGCAGATTATGGCAGACATACCCCCTGGTCTGTACCATAGGAGTAAAGTGTTTTACTGTTTCTGGAAAACTGTTTGGATTTTTTACCCAAACTCTTCTTCTTTCCCTTTCCAAAGCCCTCACTCTAATCTCCAGATGCAAACTTCCTCTGCTTTGAAACCTTCCACCTGGAGAGTGGACTGGATGCAATTATTTCCTGAAATATTTAATCTGGCACTGTTAACTTTGGCCGGTTGAAGTAAATATAAGTGGGTGAAGATGAAATAGTAAAAATTTAACTCTGATCTGCAAAGCCAAATGCCCACTGCCATACCAGCAGGCAGGAGACAGAGACACAGAAGCCTGTGATGACAAAGACACATCACACGCTGGACAACCAGCCCCCAGCCAGAGATGACCGGCTTCCTATCAGACCTGGTAAGTCTTCCGTGGGGTATTTGCATCTGTGACATTTTTGTGTGCTACTGGTGCTTCAAAGAAAACCAAGTCGATATATCAGTAAAAACAACAAGGCTCCTGCTCACTAAAAGATTCTTGGAAGTGGTTCTGCCCACCGTTTTTAGGTATTACAAATGTTTGCACTTCATGTGCTCTGTCATCCATCTTTGTCAATATATTAATGTTTCTTAAATGTTTTCAGTTATTTGAAAATATTTACTTACCTGCAAACATAATTTGCTTTGCTCACCTGCTGAAAAAAAGAGCTTAGTTAAATATATCACTAATTATTCAGTGCAAGACATGGCAGGCAGAGGTTTTGAAAGGCAGGGAACAGGACTGGATGTCGGCAGCTGTGGCACCTTGACAAGGATGTTTGTGGGAGCTGTATTTCCTTGAGCTGGATGTAGGGAAGTCACAGGAGGATGTATTCCTCACACCGGGACAAGCAGAGGGAACATTCCTACCTGCAAATCCCTTGAACAAATGAGATGTTGCTGGAGAATGAAAGACACATTGCAAGAAGAGCCTGATGTGGCTACAAGCCTAAGAAGATTTTGTTCTACATCTGCAGGTGCAGTACCAGGGGCTCTTTCAAATGATCACTGTCCTGGGGATTGGTGGAACATTCCAAATTGGTTTTCAGATTTCTACCCTGACCTACATGTCTCAGGTAGGCAAAGATGCACATGGCACACTGGTTAATGAGGGCACTACACTGCTGCTTGGGGATGCTCCCCTCTGGCAGTCAGAAAGGGCTTAATCACAGCATTCTCCTCTCATTTCCTAATTGCTACGCTATGCTATCACGAAAAGCAGAACATGTCAAAGTGTTGAAAAGAGAAAAAAAAAAGGAGATCTGCAAGTTGTTATTTATAGAACTGTTCATCAGAAGACACACACTGAGTAGGGTGGCATCTGTCTCCCCTAAAAACCTTCAGCACATTTGCCTGCATCAGTGGCTTCAGTTGATATTTTTATAGCTACCCATCTTCACAGACAAATAACCTGTCAAGCGAGCCATGCTCTAGGAAAATGTCTGCTCCTCTCCACTGATCACATGCAAAACTTCCATTAAAGACACTGAGGTCTAGATGGAAGACATCATTATTTTGTGGGGATCACCTTATGGGAACAGTGTTATTTTCTGGCTTTAGAGCATTAAATTCTGAGTGAAAAAGTACTTAGGAATTGCACTGAAGGTACGCTGTGTAACCTGGCATTCTTGGTAGGCATGTGAGAGAAAACCCATAACTCCTTTGCAGAACTTTGCAGGGGTGTTTACACTACTCTTTAGTACCAATTAATGGCTCAGTTCCTCAGATTTCAAGGATAAAAACCCAAAGATTGACCTCCCTTTAATGAAAAAACCAAACACAGCACACTATTACACTATGTCTGTTAGCTAAAATGCACAATTTTAAAGTCTATATGAAATAGTAACTTTAGCTGAAGCAGCAAAATTACGTTGTAAACATAACAAAATACATGCACTGCTGTCACAGGTGTTGTTCATGAAAATTCTTTTTCTGTCTCAGCATGTAAAGGTTTTCATTAATGAAACTTGGCTGGAGCGATATGGCTACCCCATCCAGCAGGATAACCTCCTGTTCCTATGGTCCATCATCGTGTCCATCTTTGGTATAGGAGGTCTCTTGGGTTCTTCAGGAAGTAGATACCTCGCTGTCAAATATGGCAAGTACGTATGTATGTTCAAAGACAATTTGTCAAGTGAATCTCAGCTCGAGGAAATGACAGCCGAGGTTTTAAATGGGAGACGGAGTTTTAGACTCAGTCATGGCTGTTACACAGCCAGGTTAGCTGTGGGGTCAACTGGTTTTCCTGCTTCCTGCCCTTGTCCTGTGGCATGGACTAATGAGCTGTGCTGCCAGCCTGTCACACCAGGCACAGTTACTCAGATTGGGTTAGTCTCAGCAAAGAGGAAAGGCAGCCTGGCTGAAGACAGAATGGGTTCTTGAAAGTGCTACTCAACATATAGAAGCATTGAGGTCCTTCTAAGTGCTATGACAATGTGTTTCATAATGGATATTCAAGTGCAGAAAAGTTTTAAGACTTTTCTCTGCTACACAGCCCAGAAGTGTTCCCAAACTCCCAGGTCTAACCACGTGCCAAGGTACACCATGAGTCCAGAGTATCCAGTGCCAACGGCATGGAAGGGCTTATTTAATCCTGGACTACATATGTGTCATTTCACAGAACCAGCAAGACAATTTCACCCGAGAATTCCTGCATGGCAGGAGCTTAAGTGCCATTTGCCTTCTGATTTACAAAAAATCTTTTCACTTCCTTACAGAAAGAAATGTCTCTTGTGCAACAACCTGCTCATGATAATGGCAGCATCTATCATGGGCTGCAGTAAAACAGCCCAGTCCTTTGAGATGATTCTGATTGGGCGCTTCATGTGTGGAATAAGTGCAGGTGAGTGATTTCTCCCACAGGTCAGCAGGATCTCACAAGATTTTACATCTTTATTCGAAGTAAAAAATAGCCCTCCACTAAGGGAATAAAATATTAAAGTCAGTGACCTTTTGTCAGAAGATTTTCTATAAGACAAAGCAATAATCACTAATTTCACTTATATCAAATGAAATTCAGCTTTGCCAAGTATATAAATATTCAGAGCTGTCAGGACTGTTTTGATACAATATGAAACAAAGCTTTTTCCCAAAGGAAAAATATGTACAATATTATCTTAATTTTGGTTGGCAGTACTGAAAATTATATGGTTTAAAGCTAGTATTTTGATAAAGGGGAGTCTTCCAAGCCATAAGTTCTTTGGATTAGTTCAAAGATCTGGTAATAATCAGGCAAAATCACTCCTAGCGAGTACCCCACATCCAGCAAAACCTCCTGTGCTGGTGTCAGTATTTCTTGTGTTTTTCCCCTATACAAAACTTGCTTTTCCATTGTTTGGATATTCACAGGGATGCCTATTTTAACTTATTATAAAGTTAACTTAGAAGTTAATGCCTATTTTTCAAATACCTAGGTTTTGTACATTGCTTGTCTGACACACAGTTGTATCAAAGAACTGCAGGTGTAGTTTAAGAATTACTCACCCCCAGAGGTCCTGCTCTGGTCTAGAACCTGTATCATGCCTCATGCAGAGACCTGATTTTTGTTACAGAGACTGCAATTAAAAGAGATTGTTTTCCTATCACAGAAAGCCAAGAGAAGAACATATTGCTTTCA